TGTTATGCCTGTCAGGTAACCTATATCCTGTATTAGAATTATTAGAATTTAAATTCTCAGAGTTTGAAATTTGTACCTCATTCTCAGAAGATTGGCCATGCTGTGGTAGAGGAGACTGTATCAAATGCCTTTGCTCATTTTTTGTATCCATACCGAGTTCATCCCAACAATCAATGCTCCTTTCAAACTCAGCTTGAGATGGGCTCATTGCAGGTGACAAATTTAATTCCTGCGCAACGCTCCCTGTCTGGACCGGACTCGGAATAAAGGCTAGAGCCGGGTTTAAATTCGGGTCAGTAGCAACAGTAGCTGGGTTTGGGTTAGCTTGAGATGTAGTTGGGTTCGGATTTCCAGCAACACCTCCTGTGCTGACATTCCTATACGGACCCAATTGATGCTAATTTTCATTCTCAAATCAACTCTCCCCCTGAGAATGAATCATATCCTTTCGGAAAAAAACTTTCTATTTCAATAAAGGTGACATCCATGGTAACAAATAGCTTTTTAGAAATGGGATTGAGACATTTATAACCTTTCTGGTTTTGGCCGTACCCTACAAATACACACATTTCTGCACAATGTTCCAATTTTGACCGTTGATGTTTTTGTATATGGACAAATGCAACACACCCGAAAACCTTAGGTGGAAGATTCAGAACCGACGGTATCGGTACATGTGAAGAGAGTACTTGAAGTGGAGTTTGGAAATTTAAAACATTTGATGGCATACAGTTAATTAGGTACACGGCATTGGTAACCGCATGATCCGAATAGACTCATGGTACTTCATACTCAAATAACAAACACCGGGCTGTTTCTAAAACATGTCTGTTTTTCTGTTTGACCACTCCGTCTGCTGTGGAGTTCCGACACAACTCGTTTCATGGATAATCCCTTTAGAGTGAAAAAAATTCCCGAAGTGTGTCATTCACAAACTCACCACCATTGTCACTTCTTAGAAATTTAATGTTCCGATTAAACTAATTTTGCACCATGTTAAAAAAGGATTTAAAAACATGTGTCACTTCATCTTTTGTTTTAAGGACATATAGCCACGTCATCCTAGTACAATTATCAATAAATAGTACAAACCACCTAATTCTAACAGATGAATTAACTGGGGATGAGCCCCAAACATCGGAATGAACCAAGTCAAAAGGTTTTGTACTCTTATTCAAACTACTAGGAAAAGGCACACGATGATTCTTAGCTCTAATACAGGTTTTACAATCGAATTTTTCATTCTCACAGCCAGAAAATAAACTAGGGTAAAGTTTTTTCAGATACCCAAAAGATGGATGCCCTAATCTCTTATGCCACATCCAAATGCGAGAGATCCGATTTGTTAATAAACTTGTAGAAAAATGAGCCTTTCCAACCACCATGTCGTCCAGATGATACAGTCTCCCTCTTCTACTACCACGACCAATTATCTCCTTCGTGAGAAGATCCTAAAAGATACAAAACTGGGGATACATGAGAACAACATTGTTCAGTTATTCACAAATCTGACCAACAGACAATAATCAGGTTGATAAAGAAGGTACAAGTAAAGTATTTGATAAAGTAAGGGAAGGTGAACATTGAACATCTCCAACACCCTTCACAGGGTACGACTCTCCATTAGCATTGACTATTGTTGTTCTTCTTGGTATGGAAATCTTCACAATATCCTTTTCTGAATAGGTAATGTGATATGTTGCCCCTGAATCTATTATCCAATCAAACTCATTAGTATGATAATTATTAGAGACAAGACAGTTTTTACCTTCCACACGTTCATTGTTTTCAACCGGCGGTAAGAGAGAGTATCTGTCCGCTGAAACAGAGGCTGCAGATGCTTGGTTCATTCCAATAATGTCCGACGCAGTTGGGACAATATGCATAGCAGAGACACCCAGCCCAATAGGAGCACCCTGCGCAACAGGGGCTGTAGTTGAATCAGCTGCAACCATTTGCGCCTCACCCCTGTACTATTGCCCATCTCCCTGCCTCTTCTTCTTTCGATCTTTCCAACCCGGTGGGTAGCCAATTAATTTGAAACACTTATCCCTGGTATGTCTCGGATTATGACAGTAAGTGCAACCTTCAACCGGAACCGGTTTTGATTTGAAATCAGGTTTGTTTGTGGCAAGGGTTTGTTTCTCACAAGCATAACCATAGAATTTTTAGCACCATCCCCTTTGTTTAACATCACTGTTTGGCGGTTTTCTTCTCTACGTACTAAGGCAAAAGCTTGTTCTATTGTAGGAAACGGTTTTAGTTGTAGGATAATTGCCCGAATTGAATCCAAGCGGTCATCAAGACCATCCAGGAAGGTAAAAACACGATCTTCTTGAACAAGGTAATTGTGTTTCTCAATATCAACTAGGGAGGTCATAGGGTTTGGCCTACGTACATCTAACTCTTTCCATAACCCTTGTAATTGGGTGTAATAATCTTTAACAGAACCACCAGCTTGTTTGACACGGTTAAGTCTCCTTTTTAGGTCAAAAAACTGGGTCAAGTCATCTCCATCAAAAAAAGTTGTTCTTACCGAGTCCCAGACCTCTTTGGCCGTAGAGAAAGGGAGAAAATTACCTGCTAAGGAGGGATCCATGGATTCGATTATGTAGTCTTTAACCGAAGAGTCTTCCATCTGTCACTTGCGATATTGGCTATCAGTTGACTTTCGTTTGGGAGTCGAGCCGTCAATATAGCCGAGTTTATCCTTCACCGATAGTTTCATCTTCAGTATCTGCGACCACAAGTTGAAGTTCTTCCCATCGAGTTTGATCGTCATGGCTAACATAAGATTGCCCGATTTTTTTTGTAATAGTTGTGACAAGGTTGTAGTCAAGCTCTCCAAGAGAAGAACAGATTCAGGTTTCTGTACTTCCTTAGATTTCTCTACTTCCCTAGACATTCTATTTAATGTAGTATGAATCAGAATAAAAAAATGTGAGAATTGGAGAAACAGAGGAATAGGGAGGAAACAATATCTGATTCGGCTACACAAAATGCTTAGAATCGAAATTTGTGCTCTAATACCATGATAAAAAACAAGAATAAAGAACACCACACTCCCACAAACCTCCCTCCCTTAATTTTATTGATAGAAAAAATTCTTGATCACAATTGCTAGATTCACAGCCTCCTCAAATAGAGAGATAAAAACTGAATCAAGGAAAGAAAAATCGCACTAGAATCAATCTTATCATTACATATATATTCCTTCTATCTTTAGATAATCTAAATAAGGCAACAAATAAACTAGCTGTGCGCCTCCAGCTGCATCTTGAATTAGCTCGCGTCAATATTATGGTACTTTCTTTTTACTTGAAAAAAATAGTTATGTAAAAGATGAATTTAGAGTACCTCAGTAACTTTGTTTCGAAAACACGATTCAAGATGGCAATATCATAATTCACTATTTTTTGAAGTTCTTAGTTCATGTGTAATATAACTAATTTAACTAGTTCTCATAATTGTGCGTCCGAAGAAACTGAGAACTTATCCAAAATAGTGGAAGTACATAAAAGAGATTTAAGATATACTCTCCTATTAAAAATTGAGAAAGAGAATACTATTTCTACGTTTTCAGCATAACTATCTTCTTGAAGAGATTGCTATAGATTTTTCCAAAGCTAAATATATACCATCTCTTGTACATTACATTCATTTCACTTTTACTCGAGAATAATCATCACTGTCAACAAAGCAATAGATATTTATAAATAATTAACTGCAGTAATCTCTTCACTATTTTTTAATAGTGAATTTAGATACCCACAGAGAACCTAATCCCAGTAAAACTAATAGTCATTCCATTTAATATTGGACCTAAAAAAATTGTGTCCTTATTTACTTCTTTGCATCTCTAGAAAACAAACAACTAACATATTACACAATTATCCCAACAACAAAAATGAACCAAAACATTAATTAATTAATTAAAAAAAGAATAAAAAGGCAAGCAGCGCTCAAACTGCTACTTTTACACAGTTATTATTATTATTACACTACTAGACCTACAAAATTGTGTGTAAAAACAACAATAAATCCGATTACTACACAAAATCAGAAAGCGGTAAAAAAAAAAAAAAAAAAGCAATAAAATTAAAATTAAATTAATAATAAAAATATAAAAAAGCAAGTCGTGCTCAAACTCCTCTCTTTACTGCCAGTTACTATTAAACAGCGTATCCATCTATCTATATATTTGCAGTCAGCGAAGAGTCTCCACGTCTCCTCCACTTCTCCTCTACCTTCTCGCCGGCGACGGCGGCGGGATATTTCCGGCGATCTCACAGCCGGAATATTCCACTCTCAAGGTTGGTCAAAGATCGTTTCTTTCTGCTCTTATTTGCCATTTTCATGCACTTTTCCTGCAAATTTCTAGTGGGTGGTCAAAGATCGTTTCTTTCTGCTCTTATTTGCCATTTTCATGCACTTTTCCTGCAAATTTCTAGTGGGTTTTTTTGTTTTAGTTAATACCCACTCAATAATTTTCTTAACAAATCCCTTTTAAGTGGTAAAAATTGGATTTTGTTGCTGCTGATTTTTTTGATCTGTTACTGAACGAAGTTAGTTAACTTACACCAATTTATATATATATTTTAATGTTTTTGGCTCTTATTTGCATTCTCCATGCAATTTTCATGCAAATTTTTAGTAGTTTGTTTTCTCGTTTTTGTTAATACCCACTTTAAATTTCTTTAAAAATCCTCTTTTTAAGTGTTAAATATTGAAGTTTTCTGCGCAGCTGCTGCTTTTGATTTGTTATTGATGAATTTAATTAGTGTTACGCCGACTTATGATTTCTTTTTTACTTGAATATTTCCGTAGATTAGTCAGTTGATGCCCATCATAGATTTATTTATTTTTGGTTATCTTTTTTCGTTTAATTGTTATTTTTACCTCTCCCCAATTTCTACTTAGTTTCCTTGCTAAATCCCTCGTTAATTTGTCACTTTCTTGTGGGCCAATTGTCCTCTACTTGACTGTTGATTAGGATACATACAAAGCCTGATTTTATTTAATAATTGAGAAAAATACACTATATCTTTGTATCTCTTACTACCAAATTTGTCTCTGTATTTAGATTCAAGGCACCTTTAAGCTGAATTGTTTAAAGAAGGCTGTTACTTCGATTGAAGGGGAAGGAGTTCCATCTCTTTTTAAGCTCTGGTTGCAGATAATGGGCTTTGCCAAAGATCACGGTAATTTTTCTTCTTCTTCTTCTTATTTTTTTTTGGTGGTTGTTGATGTAGCTCTTTCGGAATTGTTGCTGTTTTAGTTATCTTCATTTGTATCTGTTAGTAAATCCAAATTTTCGTGGGTAATGAATATACTTAAAATCTATAGGAAATTATATAACTGGATTAGGATCAAAATATATTATCTACTTGCTTTTTTGTTCGAGTCGTCGACATCAAATCTTTACTCTTCTAATTGGTTTAAAGTCTAATTTCTAGGAGATCCAGTGAACAATGAGTTCATGTATGTTATGGTCGTAGAATTTTATGTTGAGATGCTTTTGTGTTTGCTATTACTAATAAATGTTTGATTTGAGATATTTAAGTAGATGGGAGTGTGGGGTCTTTTTCAGGTGGTTATGCCAAGTCTTTACTTTTCTGATCTCTAGCTGTAAAAGTTTTCATGAGAAAAGCCCGTGAAATGTATTTCTTAGCTCCTGAGTAAGTTTATCTGCAAGAAAGTAGATCTTGTTCTAGAGAAGTTATGCAGTTTTTTTTATTCAGAATACTTCTTTAGAATTTCAGTATATACTTCTGTATCCTTCCGTTCTTGTGGCGAAATGGTCAAAATTAAAATATTGATCTTCCATTATTCCAATGACATAAGCTAGCTGAAGGAAATGTTTTACAACAAAAATTAAGCAATAGTGATGCCTCATTTATCTTAACAATCAATTATCACCATCTTTTCTAGTGGCGAAATGGTCAAAATTAAAAGATTGATCTTCCATTATTCCAACGACATAAGCTAGCTGAAGGAAATGTTTTACAACAAAAATTAAGCAATAGTGATGCCTCATTTATCTTAACAATCAATTATCACCATCTTTTCTAGTGGACCAAAAAAAGATTAATAGTACACGTAACTATGCTCTTGAAATTTTTTTTTTGCAACATTGGAAATTTCTGTATTATCCTTTTGTTTAAACAGTCGATACCTCAATACTATGAACGCTACTTCGTTCTTTGAGAACATTTACAGTTGTTGTCGACTGAGAGATACGTGGTTTAAATTTTCCTTAAAAGAAATTTCCTTCTGATGTTCTAATATTCACTTTATCTGGCATAATAACAGGTCAGCTCTTGTCTAGATTTCAAAAGGTTTGTCCCAGTTCTTTTTCAACCAGTTGGCGTATCATATGAAGAGTACTTTCTCTTGATATTGAGCCATATCACAACGAGTCATCATCATGGGTAGTTGTGTGTCAACATCAAATAGAACAACGAGGTCAAGAAAGTACTCTCTAAGATCAAGAAAAAGGAAACGAAAGGTTTCGGCTGCAGTTTCTGATGCCCCCAAAACCCTGATCAGCAATAGTGGAAACTGTTATGCTGTTAAGGAGTATGTTCGTGTTGAGCCTGCTGCTGCAAATCGTAGAAAATCTGAAGTTTCCAACTTAACGGTCCATTTAACTCAGTTGCAATGGCACCACAATCACATTGAAAAAAATGGTGATACATATTTCTCTTTTTTCTTTCTTTTTTTAAAAATTTGTGCATATCATACTTTTGATTGATTTTTACCTCTGACATAGATAAGAATTGAATTATATATGCAATTCTTGCAGCAGTATGCCAAGAGGAATCATGGTTTGACTCTACAAGTATTTTGGATTCTGATTCAGATGATGACTTTATTAGCGTTCATGGAGGTATATACTAAATCTCAGTTTTGTAATGCACCAGGCCATCATTTTATTTAACATTTGACTTATTCTTGATTTTTTATAGATGGCTTACCGGCTGTAAACAATGCGATTGGGGCTCAGGTTCTTCAGTATGAAAATGCTTCAAGGTTTGTAGATGCAATGTGTAGGTATGAGGAATGTGGTGATAGCACTCCGATAGCTCTTGTCGTTGAAGAGATATTTAAAAGAGAAGAAGGCAAAACTGAGGTTTTAAGCCAAGATGATGACAAGGACACTGATAGTGATTTTGGCACAATCACTAATAATGGTAGCTTTAATATTTTAAATAAGGATGAACAGGGAGCAGAAGGATATTGTAATGAGAACACCTTGAAGCAGACAACATCAACTGATATACGAGGTTTAGCTCCTTCTGTCAGTTTTAGTGATAAGATTCCACAAATTCCAAATGCAAGCCCTCTCGCTCCAAAAAGAAAATCAGCAGTTATTAAGCTTTCGTTCAAGAGAAAATCTTGTGAGGGAGAAGAAACTATGGAAGTTTGTAAGTAGAACTTTTCCCTTCAAGGCATCCATTTTACTTGCAACTACTGCTTAATATTAAAAAATGCGAAAACTTTTCTGTAAATTATTATCTCCTTATTTCCATGTACACGTTGTGCACATGATTTTGACAGTCGGTGTTTGCATTGTTGGTTACTTAATTTTTTTGTTTGAAAGGATTGGTAGTTTAAATCGAGATGTGGGATCATTGCTTAGTGTTACATGTTCCTAAAAAATGTATTGCACTTTTTTTTTCTTGTATGCGACTCCTCTTTGGAATTTTAATTTTATCAAAGTAGATTGATTTAGAGTTTCGATGTTACTATGCACATAATATTTTTCTTTTCTCCATCTAATTCATCTGTTTTACCACATTCTTTAATCTGAAATTGATGGAACATTATGGCATTTTCATCAGGTGCATCAAAAAGATTCTTGTATCAGCCTATAGCAGGACTATCAATTCCAAATGGAGATAAACTAACACAGGGATGCTGGTCATTTCTTGAACCGTCAACCTTTAAGCTCCGCGGAGAGAGTTATTTCAGGCATGACATCAGATCTTTACTTTTTCACATTATATATTGACGACTATTTTTATGATCTCTTTCTCAATGTTAATTTTTGTTGGTGTAGGGACAAGAAGAAAGCTCCTGCACCAGATTATGCTCCTTATACACCAATTGGTGTCGATTTATTTATGTGCCCTCGCAAAGTAAATCACATTGCACAGCACATTGAACTTCCATCTGTGAAGGGGCATGACAAAGGTCCTTCATTACTGATTGTTAATATTCAAGTACGCTTTCTATCTCCTTCAGAAAAATACTTAATTTATTGGTTAGAATTGAGGTGAAATGTTTAATATTTTATTTGTCTCTGGCAGCTACCTACATATCCTGCTGCAATGTTCCTTGGTGACAGTGATGGAGAAGGGATGAGCCTTGTTTTATATTTCAAGATATCTGATAATTATGACAAAGAAGTTCCTTCTAATTTCCAGGATATCATTAGGGTAAGTCTGGGGAATAAATGACTTGGCATTTTTTCGGCGACAAATAATAATGTTAAAAACTTTTTGCAGAAATTTTTAGATGATGAGAATGAAAGGGTCAAGGGATTTCCCATGGACTCCATTGTTCCTTTTAGAGAACGATTGAAAATAATGGCTGGGGTCGTTAATTCAGAGGATCTCCATCTGAGTGGTACAGAAAAGAAGCTCGTACAAGCTTATAATGAAAAACCAGTACTTTCACGCCCGCAGCATAATTTCTACCAGGTTAGTAAAAATATTAATAAGACAACACATGCATAAACAATATAAAACTAGTGCCAAATTTATATTATTAAACCTGTAAAAAGGAGAATTAACACCAAATCAAGCATTTGTTAGTTACTTCACAAAGACACAGAGTGCGGCAATTCTTTATTCAATTGAAAGAGGGGCTCGCTAGAGGCACAGTAAAATTTTCCTCTAGTTTGTGAGACGGAAGAAAATTTCAGTTATTTATCTTTCTCATAAAGGAGGAACAACAAATTGATTTTTGTTAGACCTGAGAAGTTTCAATTTATTAATAGCAGAATTTGTCCTATGGCTACCACATTTCTACCAACTGTACCCTACTTGATATCCATAATCATTATGTTATTATTTACTCAAATACAGGTTTTTTATTTATTTATAAAGTTTTATCAATCTTGGGATCCTTAGTTCCATTTATATGCAGGGTTCAAATTACTTTGAGATTGACTTGGATATTCATCGGTTCAGCTACATATCAAGAAAAGGACTTGAAGCTTTTCGAGAACGCTTGAAACATGGGATACTTGATGTGGGTTTAACCATTCAGGTACTGAACTGAGATTCACCTAGTATCATTTTGTACATTGGTCCTCATTGTAACAAAACAACCAGCTAGATTATTTTCTTTTGCATTGTGTTTGCATGATGCTTTTAATCTTCTAAACAATAAGAGAGAGACAGAGAGAGAAAAAAAATCAATCATCATTTGATGATGCAGGCTCAGAAGCAGGAAGAATTACCGGAGCATGTCCTTTGTTGCCTGCGACTGAACAAAATAGATTTTGCAAACAATGGGAAGATACCCACACTTGTGACCATTAATGAAGACTAATGTTGAAGACAAATCTGTTGTCGCTATTTCAAACCCAATAATCGATTCAAATAGTGTAGAAGAGGAGCTTGGAGGAAGAATCATCATCTGCAAGCACCTGCATTCACATTGTACCTATCAATAGGAAGATGAAGTTGCCTGTAATCTCAATGTAATAATGGTCGCATCACACATCCTCCGAAGAGCTGATGCCTTCTAGCAATGTAAAGCGAGAGATATCTTATATTATTTGCATCAGAAACAGGGAAGGTCAGATAACAGTTGAGAAGAAGTTAAGCACATCTGTAGAAAATCCAGCGAGAAAACAGTTAGGACTTGTATGTGTAAAAGTAAATATGTAACCTTTTAATTCAATGAAATTCTTAGGTGTTGCTCTTTGATTCAATGAGCTTCAGTTTTGCAACACTTGAGGTATTCCTTTTGGAGCTTTGGGGATTCTGTTTCAGATAATTGAGTTCTGCCTTCCTGTCATTGTAGTTTGATTCAGAATCATGTTTACCATTACACCCACAGAGATCGAGATAAATTGCAGAACAATGAGAATTGCAAACTTGAGAATTTACAGAGTTCAGAGCAAGTCCTAACTCATGCATCCAATTTCAGTTTCAGGAGAAAAGAAAGCCATATACAAGGTGTACATCTAACGAGTACTAATTGTATTACAATTGTGTATACCACAAGCTATAACATATAAATGGAAAAAGAGATGTCAACAAGGATTAAAAAAACTCCAAAAAAGGGTACAAAAACTAAGTTACAGCAAAATACACAGTGAACTTATGTTGCAGAACAAGGTTAACTTAAGGCATGCCGTGTTCTTTCAGCTGGAGAACTGCAACTGGCCAATAAAACATTGTTTCTTAAATCACCCCTCTTGAAGAAGGATTGATGACTGGGTATGGGGTTGTGAACTTTTGGCTGCAAAATATCAGCAGCGGCGATGGAGTTTGCAGTGTTATGGCTGCTGTTTCTAGCTGCTGGAATTTCATGGTTATGTTTTCCTTCGTATGCTGTTATAACTTCTTTGGGGTCTGTTGAAGCTCGTTCCACTTGCTTTCGAACATTGCATCCTGCACTAGTGCACCTATAATAACTCCTGCAAATTCCGATAGGATAGTCATATACTCACGAGAATGATTTTAGCTGAGACAAAAGAACTTGTCCTGTAAATTGCAATGGGCAAATAGAAAGGTAAAAGCTACCTCTCAACAAGATAAAAGTAGAAGGATCATGCAAAATTTGGCGAAAGAAAGAACAGAAAATTGAGAAATTTATACTGAAAAACACGAATTGACAAAGTTTCTTAAACAAACATCTAGAAGACTAGATACCTGCTATCATAACCATAATCCATCATAAGAAACTGAATGGCCTAGTATATGCTACATATGCTAGAAGATAGCCTAGTCCGCTCAACCTCAACATGACTTCAAGAGTTTTGGTTTAATGACAGACACATGATATGGATTGAAGAAGAAGAGTAATTTTTATGACTTGATATGTCAGGCACATATGTAAATACGAAAATAGTCCTATCATACTAGGCAGTATTTTGATCTTTGAAGTTCGTTAGAAATTGGATCTGCCTACGACCATGAGAGAGAACAAGAAAGAGCTGAAAAGCGATCACAGAAGACATCAATTTTGCGGTGGTTCGGCAAGGTGCTATGTCTACAACCGCACTAGGGTTCTTTTCTTTATACCTGATAAAGTTACAATTAAAAGAGAGAGTACTCGAATATGGAGATAGAGACTAGGGTAAAGACTACGTGTAGAATTACCAATTTACCCTTCTACATTACATATAATTTTTCACGAGTTTGTCTGCACAGTACAATCGGACACCAGACCTCCAACAAAGTGTTATACATTATACGAGAACTTCATAGAGATGTGCTGCTAAATTAATTACGAGCAGTTGCTACCATTTCTTCACCTCCATCTGCACATGAATGCAGATGACACACATACACAACCATATACACATGCACAAACATACAACGTCGTTTTGCTAAGGTTTTGTAAAGCACTAGTATATCAATGTTGCATAAGTCAACTTCCTTAATAGAGACACATGCATCTTAGAAATAAAAACTAGAGGACGCAAAAGATGTCTGTCAACTATCCTTAGTCCCTTTGAGCTGGAAATTTTGGAAGATAACAATGAGGTAAGACAGAATGCCCCACATGGTATCATGCGTGCCTGCACCTTTGTGTCACTACATGACATCATGTTCACTCTTCATGTCCCACAAATCATCAATCATGCACCAAATTCTTTGGGCTATGTGTCATATTTCTCGACATTTTAAATATGTAACCAGGTATTACAGTAGCTGTATGAAAAATCTGTTCATTAACAAATTCATTGAGAGTTACATGCTGAGTATGTAAGTTACCCACGATTTCCATAATTTGACTGTCTGGGGTGCTTCCTATTTTAAAAATTTATAGCAGTCTATTTCAATAACATATTGTCCTCAAACTTTACAGAGCTCCATTTACAAACGGATTCTTGACAAAAATTATCCTACATATTGATTGCCCGACACAAAATATGGCGTAAAAGGAGAAATACATTTCTTCTGAAAAACTTCAGAAGTGGAAAACTGAGGATTATATTGGCGCCTGTAAATTCAATCTGTCAAGTTACCAAAATTTAATCTGTCTTTTATTGACCAACGATTAAGGGAATCTAAAGCGAAAGGAGGAGTGAATGAGGTCTCACTTTTAAATCAAACAGAAAAAGTGCAAGTTGCAGATTTAGTGTAAGGACATAAGTTTTGGAATTGGCCATTTTGATGCTTTACATACAGTTCAGGCAGGCAGCGAAGGCAACATAGAACTGCTAAAAGATATATACCTGGGGTAAGGATTCCCCTTAACCACCTTCTGCCCATACTTTCTCCACCTAAAACCATCATCCAGAAGATCAACCTCACTTGTTGTCTGCACAATGATTCTCGGCTCTGTGACTGTCCTGTGAGAAGACGTCGGTTCGGTTTCCCTGACATCAACAGCCCTGCACAATCAACACTGGACATTTTTAATGTTTCTAGTGACTGAAGTGAATCCGACTCAATTATATAAAATATACCTTTTCTTCGGTTCAGGTTCACTGTCAGCATCTCCCTCCTCATCATCGCTTGATCCAGGTAACTGTTCAGATGTCCCATGACCAAATTCACTCTCTTTTTTAGAACTAGTGTCAGCATTATTAGCACAATCTAGGTTCCCAGTTAATTCATTGGACTCCTTTGAATGCCTTGGGGGCTTCTGATGATCGTGCTGGCCCTTGTAGATTATCTCGGTTACTTCACCTTCAAGAGAACGCTCGACCTTTTTCGTAACTGGACAGCTTGGATGGGTACATTTGTAGTAGCTCCGAGGATACTTGCCGCCCTTTACCTGCTTTTGTCCATACTTTCGCCAATTGTAGCCATCATCAACTGGTTTATCGATGATGAGAGAAGCAGGCTGGGACCTCTGATTACAATGAGAAGTACATCCCGATTCAAAAGAATTATTATTTGCATCCGGTAGATTATGCATTTGAGAATGCGATTGAGCATCCTGAGAAGTGACTTGCGCTAGAGACTGTTGATGAGATATTCCGCCAGGTCCCTGCATGGAGTCCATTGACCAATACAGGTGACTACAAATATGTTACTATTATTTAAGAAAAGCCACATTTTTCTTTCTGTCCTATATATGTCTCAGGATTTTAAAAAATTCATCATATGTCCGTAATTTATTGTACATTGAAACTAATTAAAAGGACAAAATTAAAAAGATCTAATAGACCCTAACTATCATCCATTACTTTATAACTCCGCCCGCTCCCCACATTTTCTAACAATAAGATACTTTACATCATTTTTGGCAATAATTTTCTAAAAATCTATTCATATTAGTATTGAGTATTAAGGTCCTTAAAATATTATTTTACGCACAAGTTTATTATGTTATGCACACATCACGTGCATCGGAGTACTAATAACTAGCTAATAGGGACATAGTAAACATTAATCTGTTAAACAAAATTTGTTGGGGTTGCGGAAGCTAGGTGGTAATTGGTTTAGTATTGAAGAACTGAGTATGGAGGAAGTGGAATAGAAAATCTAAGTTAAGAAGGGAAGATGCTAGCTTGAAGAAACTTTTGTATTGAATTGCTTATTGCTTGGTTACAATGTTTACATATCATACTTATTTATAGGCATCTATAAAAATCTCTAGAACATAGATATTTTCATGAGATATCTAAGTTTCTAGAGAATTCTACAATATTCTTATTTCTACATGTATTCATGCTTATCTTATTCTATTAACTAGCAGTTTCTAGGTATTTCAAATTTACATGACTCTTTGTTGATAATTCTGGAATATTCCTAGAATTACAAATTAGCTTCTAACCTAAGGGCTTGTTTGGATTGAGGGGAATAAGGGTGAAGGGAAATTAGGGGAACCATTCACCTTGTTTGGGAACATTTAGGAGGTGAAGTTATTCACCCTAGTTCCCCTTGGTTCACCCCCTAAGGCTGTGTTTGGCAAGGGGTTAAATGAGGGGTTAAGAGGGTTTAACCCTTCATTAGCCTACCAAACAGAAAAAAAGCCCAAGGGGAAGGGAACTCCCTCCCCTTCCCTTCCATTCTCTCACCTAGTTTCCCTTAACTTCCCTTAACCCCATTGAAATCCAAACACACCCTAAACTGATCCTAGACATTAGTACTTGAGTACAAAATATTTAACATATTAACTCTGTGATTCAACTAGTTATATAGGAGCACGCAAATATGATTTGTTCCAAATCATAACACTCCACTAACAGAGCTGATTGAATGTAGTCAGGAAAGAAGCG